ATCAATGACACTTCTTTAAAAGAATAGAATAAACCGATCATAATTCCCCCCAAAACAAGAAATCTGAAGAATAGATCCGACCCGACGAATAAACTTTAATTATAAGGCCGAACCCGGAGTAAACCCAACATACAGTAACATTTTACTGCTTTCATTTTTAGACAATAATTTCATTAAGCAGAGTAAATGATCTTGTTTGTAGCTTTTGTTTAACATGTTCCAGCTCCATCTTGTCACTTGTATCTACAGGGTGAGTCAAATGCAAATCATCTGGGATGTGTGATTGATAGGAGCGGAGCGGCGTGTGAATTTATTGTGCTGCGCTTGTTAACGTCTAAAGTACCTCGGCACCTTTTATCCTTTCTTTATTTCCTCTGCAGGGTGAACTATCTAAACAACTCTTTAGACTAAAAAACAGATTAACAACTTAATATTGTGCGTTTTGTGTGGTCTTTATTTTGCTAGATCAATTGTAGGGTTTTTTAAATTCACCACAGAAGTGAGTTCAACCATCCATCTAATAATTTTGTCCCAAATTTTGTGTCACAAATCTAACCTCTACTTCAGCCCCTTGCCTGGTTTGTGGTTTGTTGAAGTCCTCCTCCTGTCAGACTTTCCCAGGACAAAAAATACTTTCCCACAGAAATTCAGATAAGACTGGACGGTTTCTCTACAAACTAGTGAAAACATAAGTTAAATGGTTATTATCCTTGTAAATATTAAAAGCACATTGGTGTTTAGAAACACGAGTGTGATAACAAAATTTAAAATGCCTCTAATATCTGTTAAATTATAAAGTCCGCCTGAATTCAGTTTGATATTAAGAAACAGGAGTTCTGTCTGATGCAACTTGCACATTTTAATAAAAACGACCAACTGCCTGCCCCACATGCCACATCAGGTCTTTCCCCACCTTGTTGTAATATTTTAGATACTTTCACAATATGATAATCGACTCATTGTCAGATATATAAGTAGAGAGGGGCAGCAGTCTACCAGAACATCGGCTACCAACGTTGGTGAAACCCTCGACTGTCAGCTACAGAGCAGCTTTTCAACGCCTACAAGGAAGGTGAGAAATAAATAAATATAATGCAAATATTATGTGTCTCTTTGGGAAATCTTACAGTTTAATTATGTCTGCCAATTACATTCAGCAGCAGAACTTTAGAAAAACCATATTATTGATGCAATGGTTTTGCCCTGAAAAATGATTCCTCATTAACTTTGGGGTGGGGCAGAAACTTAAGTTGTTTTATTGTAAAAAAAAAAATTACGAGCACAGGTAGGACAGTACCAGAAAAAAACAAGTTTTATTGATTTAAAGAGCTCTTATACCTAAGATATTCTACAAAGAGGGCACAAAGAGTGCTAGCTTTTATATCTTTATAACCTTAAAAAAATAAATGTGTCAACTGCTTTTTTTCTTCAGCAGGA